ATTTTGAATGAATGATCAATAATAAATGACGGAATAAATGAGATAGGGGATTTGACTACATGATCTGAAATTACATATTAATTAAATATTACTATTCTACGACACAATACCTCCCAGGGAGCCAAACCCCCCATTTCCTACGTTCTAGCACGGCATCCTTCTGGTTAGGCCGGCGACACACGACAACCGTCCTCGCGTCGTCTCTTCCTACTCCCCTCCGTGCGCATGCGCGACCATAGTGTCCTACGTAGCGTATCATGGTTTGAACGAGGTGGGATATTTAAATCATTGTGGATTGGATTGTGGATTGATTTTGCGTCACCACACAAAATCACGAAGCCATGATTCATTTAAAGTTAGGCAAATTTTCTTGAAACTACAAATTTTGAAAACTGCAAATTAGAAAATTATCCTACTAATATTAAGTGAGAAAGTTTGGATGTTTGTGACAAGTAAACGTGACAAATACTTGTCGGATTGGGCTGAAATTTATAGTGATGATAGCTCACATTCCTGATTAACAAATAGACGCATTATTATCTTAAAAATCCTCTCGGGCTCCGCCCCAGTGGCTCTGGAGTTTCCCATGTTAACCTTATAAATGTTTTTAAAAGGAATTAACAAATTTTGTCAGCTGTTTCAACTACACAATTTGGTTCTTTCATATTGAATAGCATTAAAAAGTTTATTTACAGCACTATCTATATATTTAATACGCTAGGCATATTTTTTTCATAATTGTTTTGGAGTGGTGGTGCTACCGATCTCCATGTTCAAGGTGTCGTTAGAAAGGTCTTAGCATGTAGTTTTGCCATCAAACAAAAAAACTTTGGAATTCCATCAAGACTCGCCCCAGTGGCCTTCAAAGTTCCCATGTTATTCTTAGGGAGAAAATGTTTGTTTATATTTGAACAGATGAATATTTGAAATTGACACTAATATTTGAAACAGATGGTTATACTGAAATTTTGCACAAAATCAAAACATAACCAAAAAAACGTTTGACATAATGGAGACTATAAGATTTTGGCCAGGACGTCAAATAGGAAGAGGCCGACGAACTTTAACTGGTAGACGCGAACGAAATACAAATAATACTATTGTCGTTGATAGCCGAATCCAGCAAGCACCAGTCCGCGTTTAAGTGTGCTCTCCAACAGTCGCCTGAAGATTTCACATTCAATTTATGACTGTTGGATAATCGCTGCATAGGCTGTTGATTTTGGAAGACAAGGAGGAGGGTAGGACTAATTTGGAAACAGAAGACAGGAGAATGGGCCGTATGCATAAAAAGAAGTAAAACCTGTTACTTGTAAAATTTCGAGCAAAACCTTCACAAGATATGAATAAAAACTAGAGCGAAACCTTTTACTTGGAGTAAGAAGTAAATGAACAGTGATTCAGATTATTTACTCGGAACAGTAGTAAATACACATAAAGGTACATAAAGTCGACCTTTTACTTGTACTGGCAAGCAAATCCTTCAAATCTGATGCATCTAGTTAGTAGTTGACTCATCTCTCAAGTAATAGGTTATTTTTGTGTTTGATATGGCGGATATGGTGAATGTTCGGGAAGTAAACGTGTATCTACCTCGTTGTAGTCCTAAGGACATTAAAAGTGTGTTTTGTTTTGAAGAAAATAACGTGCATTGGTTGACAAATAAATTTGTAGGGGTGACTGTAGAATCTTGGGGCGCGCTTACCCCAGTACCTACATAAAATGAAAATTTGTTTTAAGATATCTGTCTGATCCCGGATTTCAAAAAGGTATTGGATTCGCGCAATGGTTGGGTTTGAGTCTTCAAAGCCTGAAGAAATTTTTCTCCCATTCCAGGATTAATTTTTTTCAGTCTCTTTAGTGTCAGTTTTTATCGTTAATCGTGTTTTCATGTTGGTTATTTTTTCATAATTTTTCATTTTCCATCTATTTTCTTTCCAAACATGGATGTGTACTTCAAAAAGACTTAAGCAATTGATTCTTCAAGTTTCTTTACTTTTGGAATTTGGGATTTTTCCAGTATTATGGTAAACAAACATAATTCATTAGCAATAAACTATACCTCATTATTACAATCTACAGTTTCCACACTACCCTGTTCGTCATCACTTGATGAAATCATGACTTAACTTAAGAAACCCAAGTTAAAATACACTTATTTAGAGAATCCCCCAGACGGTAGGTTGAACCTAGGGCCGCAAGCATAAGGGGCCGCAGAGGATAAAAACATCTTTTTAGACGAAATAATTTATTTTTCTAAACCATTAGTTTGCCGCGATCACGTGACGATAATAATGTCCTCGTGACTGCGGACCTAGGAGATGTTTGGGATTTGGCCGTGGCCGCGGGTGACGGTGATGTGTCCTTATGATCGCAGCCCACGGGAGACGTTCAAGATTTAGCCGCTGTCGCGAGTATCGATGGTGATGTTCCCGTGATTGCAGCCCACGGGAGATATTCACGATTCCACCGCGGTTGCGAGTGTCAAGGATGATGTTCCTTTTGTTGCAGCCCGCAGGGGATGTTAATGACTTGGCGCGGTCACAGATACCTATGATGGCATTGATTTGATTTAGGAGAGATGTCCACGATTTCATCCGCGATCATGAGTGCTGATGATGATGTCCCCTTGATGCATTGCTGCAATCGCAAGGAGTTTCCACACAGGGGGGGGGAGCCGCAAGTACGCTAAATCCGGCACTGTGAATAAGGCACATAATCCCTTTATTTACAGGAAATTAAGTGTATTGCTGTTGTGTGTGTTGAGAAAACAGCTGATCAGCTGTTAATATTTGATAAATCAGATGTTGCATTGTTAAATCAGTGCGCCTAGTAGTTCATTGGGACGCTGGAATTTTATCCCCCTGGAATTTTACCCCCTGGTCTAAGCTGACGTCACTCAGACGTAGTAACCTGAGCGCTCTAAAGTTTGTTCATGGGCGGAATTTCACCCCAACAAAATCGGAAGTCTAATGAAAATAGACATAGCATGATGAATTAGATTTTCAATAAAACCCGGAATTTTACCCCCTGTCCATAGAACTAGTGTTTATGCAAATGTACGGCCCAGATTTTTCTCCTGGATTTTTACCACCCCCCCCCCCCCCAAGTGGTTTACCCCCTGGCCATATACAGGGTGTTTTTTTTAAAACTTGCATCTTTACTTATGTAAAAACCACAATTTAATAGTAGACATTTTATTATTTAATTATTTTGATATTCGGGATTCGGGTTTGGGCCAACCGTTGGTTAATATGAATGTAAAATGTTTACTATTTAAACTGAAAGAAGAAAATTAATCAATCTCACTAATATCTATATCTAGCTAGGGGGTGAAATTCCGGGGGTAAAAATCCGGGGGGTCAAAATCAGGGGGGGGTAAAAATCTGAGCCGTACATTTTGAGCTGACCTCATAAAGAGGGTAAAAGTCTGGCGGTAAAATTCCAGCCCGTACACTCTAGGTTTCATATTTTGATGTATTGTGATTAAATTCACAACTGTGAAAATATGCGTTTAACTCCACCGTCGGACGGGCGGGTTGAGCCCCCGGCACCCTCGCATGGGCATGTTGAGCCCGCGAGTTACCTGATGGGCGTGTTGAGCCACGGGTACGCTGGACGGGCGTGTTGAGCCCCTGGCACCGTCGGACGGGCGTGTTGAGCCCCCGGCACCCTCGCATGGGCGTGTTGAGCCCGCGAGTTACCTGATGGGCGTGTTGAGCCACGGGTACCGCTGGACGGGCGTGTTGAGCCCCCAGCACCGTTGGATGGGCGTGTTGAGCCCCAGACACCCCACATGGGCGTGTTGAGCCCGCGGGACACCTGATGGGCGTGTTGAGCCACCAGCACCGTCGGAGGGGCGTGTTGAGACACCGACACCCTCGCATGGGCGTGTTGAGCCTGCGGGTCCGTAGTTGTTGGTGGAGGAAAGGACTTTGGAGTCCCCCACCACCTTAAAAGCGTATACATAGGTATACGCTAAGTGTTGACGGAGTTTACGTCGGACTGCAGACCGAGTAGACTGCCTAGAGAGTGCTAACTTCTGAGCAAGTGACGCCAGAACCGTCTCCAGTGGAGAGCAGTACCGCACATTAAACCGGCCCAGCTTGACTTCTGTGCTTGGAAAGCCAGAACCGTCTCCAGTGGAGAGCAGCAGCTAGGGGACCGAGGATTCCGGGGTGAAGGTGCCAAGGATCTAGACCGCGGACCCACACGGATATCTTTTAGGAGTGTCGTAGACCACCGGGCCAGTAAGGGCGCAAGCAAGACTTGATCCAACCTCTGCCCAACCCCTGAATACGAGCCCGGAGACACTGCCTGGTAGGAGGACTACGGACCCAGGATCAAGATTGTATATACGATTGTACATAAAACTATATGTGTTAGGATAAGGTTAGAAAGGAATAAAATGGAAGTTTGAGATACCCAGAGTCTTTCACTTGTCGACCCTTACCACCCTTGATAAGGCCTAGTGCTCTGGAGGAAACTTCCTCACAAGGGAAACTTCCCTATACCTAATGATAAAAATACCTCAGTACTTATTTGAATGTTATTCTTTCAATTTATTACCTAATTAAAATTAGGTGTTATGATTTGTTTTATTACTGTATTCTGTTTTGTTTATTTCAGCTTAACTTAACCAATTAATAGTTTTATTAACACATATGAAGTCAAACGGGGTGAAGTCCGTGGGTAACAGCTAGTGTTGGGTAAAGATTATTTTTTTTTAACTGACTAAACACCATTCTGAAACTTCAACTAACTTTACTACAACTTTTTCTAACCACTCCATGTCATAACTAAAATTAAATACAACGAATAAACACAATTAATTTATAAAGAAAACACTTATATAGCTAGATATTTTTGTAAACAATCATCAGTACTTACCACTTGTATTTGACGACATGCTTGTTGAAAGAAGAAGGAAATGAAAATATAGGTAATATAATTAAATCTTAAAACTGTACAAATAGTTACTTGTAGACTAGTTATCTTACCTGAGACATCGTCGTAGGGAGGCTCGGATAGCCAGAGGTAGTCACAGCGACACGGAGCGTCCATCAGACCTCCGCCACACTGAGGGGACAAGGCGAGGTGTCGGAACCTCACTACGATCACACATGATGGACAAGTGACAACCTCTAGACTACACTGCTCATGGGACTGCAGGGATCCCTGCTGTAATTAGCAATTAGATTAAATTTATACAATATTGGATGAATTTATTATACAATATGTAAATAATATATCTTTAATAATAGTTTGATTTTGATATATTCAAATATATATTTAAAATATTACCAAAAAGCAATGCAAAATATCAATTAAATATACGTTTTGAATATATATAATAGATTCATAATATATATTGATAAAATAAGTATAGAATCTATAATATACTTATTTTATATGTATATTTTTCCTATTAAATATTTTAAAAAATATGTGTTGAGAATATTTTAAATAAATATAAAAAATATTTTTGAAACTATATTATATATTTAAAGTATTTATAAATATATTTTGAAACACGTCAGATATTTGTATTAATAAAATAATAATATATTTGTAGAATATATAATCTATTATAATTGGAAAATAAATAATTTGCATCTTATTGTTTTGTATAGTGTCTATCAATTTATACATGCATTTTTTGTATGATAATTGCTATTGATGTGAAAGCGTTAAAATTAAGTAAATAATAATACATATTACTCTGAATGGTGTCTCTCTATCATGCACGTAAAGACAAAATTACGCATATAGTTAAGAGGCAGTAGCCTATACATGTTCGACAACTACATATGGGTCAAACAAAAAAAAGTGTTGATGGGTTTTATTTTTTAACTAGCTGTGTGCCCGTTCTACGCACGGGGATCTTATGGTATTCAGTTGAAACCTTCTTATATTAAGAACAGCAGATGGTTTGCATATTTTCAGATATGTTGGCAAAACTATTATAAACCTTCGCAAATACAGTATCTGACAGTTTCAAGCCAAAACAAACGCAATTAAATGTCACCCGGATCGTGTTGGTCCATATGTTAATACCAAAGACTAATCTAAAATATGCTTTTTATAGATATATGAGGCATATCCCTAAGGTAGACCTAATTGAAAGTTACTTTCCACAATGGTTAAAAGTTATTTAAGTACTACCTGAACCTCCCCATTTAACACTTTATTCGGGTTGACATTTTTATCGTCAAATGTGCTATTCTCCTTTCCGTGAAACACTGAGAAATAAGGACACTAATGCGTCACCAACAGACATATACACAGAAATACAGAATTTAATTAGGGAATTTGCTATGCTTTAAGCATACCTAACAAATTACATACCTATAAAATAAGTATTTATGAAATCTTTGTTAATGTCATCAAATTTTATCAGAACAATTTATATTTGCTTGGTTCGGAGATGACCCGAAATGCTGTCGAAAAGACGGCTTACTATATGAAATGAAGTTCTATAGACGATTTAGATTGGTAATTTATAATACGTACCCAAGAGATGGGCTATGGGCCTATTGGCTGTAAGGTCCAGCTATTGCATCACATGGTGAGTAGGAACAGAAAGTGACACAGTCTTTGGAAAAGCGAGTTTATCATCATCCGTAAACCTCTGTCACAATCACCCAATGCAGTTGTGATTTTTTACCTTACACTTTACACAACCGCCATCGAAGCACCGTCAATGAGTTGAAACCTTGTTTGTAAGCTATTATTGGCGACAATCATTTAATAAATTCAATTTTCCCAGCCCTATACAACACTGATTCAAGGTATTCTTTCTGGTTATCAAAACTCAAGAACAATTTTATACACAACCACAATTTCCTGACCTGGATGATGCCTGGTTATTTAATTTCATTTACGGTTACACTATATTATTCCACTTGCGATTAATTAAATCCGTTATGTAAGAAAACCATTTTTAATCTCACTTGGATGGGATTTGCCTTCAAAACGTGATCGGAAATGGTTGCGGTATTTGTAAACAACATTTGTAAACATATCAGTGACATATAGAAGAAATAATCTTGATCCGAACAGCTGTTCGTTATTTCATAGATCATTATGTGATAAAAATTGGACGAAAACTTGACAAAAATCGCACAAAACTGCATTTTTGAACATCCGTAATTTTATTTACTAAGTAGTGAGGTCATATTTTAATAGCTAAAGACACTCTCGCCAATCCAGTGAATATATTAAAATGACTTGGATCATGATAGGTACTCTCGTTTTCCTGGAGAAGATTGCGTAAAATGCAATCTTGAGTGTTACAGACAGACAGACAGAAATTTAGATGAGACTTGTTTCGGCTTCTTTAATGTATATAACGTAAAACTAACCTAAAAATTTATGATTCTGAGCAATGTACAGACAAAACTCTAATTTTATTTATATAGATTGCAATATGTGACAATGAATGTGAACATAGAAATCTCAAATGGTTGGCTAGAAAGGGTGCTAGTGACTGGCGAATCTTTAAGAAACTAATTACGTTTGTATATGACGTTCTAAAAATAATTATTTGATTTACTTAAGTCATAAATTACATAGTATATTTGTCATAGTATTTAAATTAATTTTTGTAGTTTACTGTATTTGTATTCGTGGGGACTACCCACTATTCATAACAGCACTATTCAACTCTAATACTTAATACCAAAACAGATTAACAGAATCATATTATACTGTAGTATCAAAGTACTTTATTGCAACCATTGCAACTGTCGGCTACTCTTTCACCATTTGAAAACTAAAACTAACAACAGTCACAGATAGCTCAGAGGAAGGTACGAGGCTCATAAATGGATTGACCTAGGTTCGAGACCCATCAGGGTCAAACAAATTTTATCTAGTTTTTTTCCAAAATTTGTTTTTATGAACTATTTAATCAATTTGCTCAACTGATAATTGTGCTTTTCACACTAAATCTTTATTATTTTGTGTTTTTATGTTTAAGCCCCATGGGATGTTTGGAATTTATTATGAAATAAATCCTATACTTTAATACGAGCAATGTTTTGCTTGTATGTATGTATGTATATATGTATGTATATATGTATGTATGCTTGCTTGCAGAAAGATCTCGAAATCGGCTCCGACAATTTCCTTCAAATGTTGTAAATAGTTTATTCCTGGCCTAAAAACGAGTTTACTGCTTTTAGAATTGCCAACAAAAATCTAATTACGTAGAAAAATGAAACTGAAAGTCACATTTTTTTAACATTAGTCTTATGGGTTGCTAAGTAACCATCTTGGCTGAATTAAATAACAAGGAAAAAGTAAACAAAAGACTTGTAAGTTAGTTGTCTATCCACAGTATACTAGCAAATTACAAATACAGTACAAAAGGAAAAATATCTGTTGTTACTATTGAGCAAAGATTATACTGAAGATTACTCGATACATTGTAACAGGAACAGGACTTTTTTTTATATAAGATTATAGTAAAGGCTTGCAGTGTGAAGTGTGGGAACTGTTTGTGACGATTAGATTAAGGTATCTAAAATCCTAAAATGCTATTGGAAGGAAGGGAAACAGGTCCGCGTCGTAGGAAGTGGTAAAGGAAGTAGTAAAGGCAAGCAGTCTGGAGTGTGGGAACTGTTAATGCCGATTAAATTAAGGTATCTGCAATCCTAAAATGGCGAGGGAAGGGAGGGAAACAGGTCCGCGAAGTTGGAAGTGGTAAAGGAAGTAGTAAAGGTGAGCAGTCTTGAGTGTGGTAATCAAATCAAATCAAAATCAAAATATCCTTTATTCATGTAAGTACAATTGTACAGGAATAGAGTCAGATATTACAAAATAAAATGTTTTACATTTAAGAACTAAAAATAAGACAGAATATTTATTTTATTTGTTCTCCCAAAACTCTTCAAGAGAATAAGGGGAAATTTTAATCAAATACTGTTTCAGACAATTTTTAAACTTTTTTGTATCATTTTCATTTAGAAGTATTTTTGGAAGATGGGACATAAATTTATTTCCTGCGAATTTTGTTTTCTTTTTATAAAATTCTAGATTGTGTCTATCAATGTGAGATTGAGAACGAGTGTTATAATTATGACTAATTTTGTTTGATACCTGAGTTTTTGTAATATTTTTTGCATAAATAATAGTTTCCAAGATATATAGTCCATGAACAGTTAGTATTCCAAGATCGGTAAAAATATGTTTTACCGAATCTTTCCTTTTCAAATTAAACATTGCCCTAATTGCCCTTTTCTGGTACGATAAAATCCGTTTTAAGTTTTTTGATGTAGTTGCTCCATATATACTGATTCCATAAGCTAAATTAGAATGAACTAAGGCATAATATATTGATATTAATGTTTTTAAGCTGCAAACTTTATACATTTGTCTTAAAGCAGATACTCCTGAAGACATTTTTTTGATAACATGATCAACATGTTTGTCCCAGGCAAGATTTTTATCAATTATTAAACCAAGAAATTTTGTATGTTCTACCTGTTGTAATTTATAATCTTCTAAGATTATGTCTGGATTTAATTTGTTTTTGTTTTGTTTTGTAGAAAATGATACAAAATTAGATTTTTCAGGGTTTAAAAGAAGGTTTTTGCTATCTAAGAATTTTTTTATGATGGAGAGACTGGCCAATGATGATGCCTCAATACTTTCTTCTGAATTTCCACAAATGGTAATATTAGTATCATCAGCATACAAACAGGCCGCCCCGCCCACAGGCATCAAGTCCGGCAGACCCCTCAAGTATATTAGGAACAAGAGGGGCCCCAACACCGACCCCTGCGGAACTCCATGGCGGACCATCTGCATCTGTGAATTAAACTTTTGGATGTAATTATATTTACTTGAGAAATCTGATTTATAATGTTCTATCTCAACATATTGTTGCCTAAGAAATAGGTAGGATTTAAACCAATTTAATTCTTTGTCATGAATACCTAATTTTGATAAAGTGTCGATAAGATTTTCATGCGATACACTATCAAATGCCCTTGTTAAATCAAGAAAAATGCCAATTACTTTTTCTCTCTTATCCACTGCATTTATTATACTTTCAATAAATTCAATAACTGCAGTGACTGTCGATTTGCCTGCTTGAAATCCATGTTGTTCTGAATCCATTAAGTTATGTTCATTTAAAAAATCCATCAATTGTATAAAAACAACTTTTTCTAAGA